GTGTGCACCCCCTGGTGGTCCAGATCCCTCCTAGAGTGAGGTTTGTGTCTGGGCTCACACTGCAGTCCCCTCACTGTGTCTATTGCACAATAATACACGGCTGTGTCCTCGGCTCTCAGGCTGTTCATCTGCAGATACAGCGTGTTCTTGCCGTTTTCTCTGGAGATGGTGAATCGGCCCTTCACAGAGTCTGCGTAGCTTGTGCTACTTCCATCACTGCTAATAACTGCGACCCACTGCAGCCCCTTCCCCGGAGTCTGGCGGACCCAGCTCATGCCATAGCTACTGAAGGTAAATCCAGAGCCTACACAGGAGAGTCTCAGGGACCCCCCAGGCTTCACCAGGTCTCCCCCAGACTCCACAAGCTGCACCTCACACTGGACACCTGCAGACACAAGACATTCCAGTCAGGAATCTGTCACAAACCCATGGTTTCTCTCACTCCTATCTACTCACATACTCAATGTCTCTTGTTATCCATAAATTACCTTTTAAAAGAGCAACAAGGAAAACCCAGCCAAGCACAAACTCCATTGTGAGTGTCTGTGTCCTGTCCTGAGTACTGATTGGAACACCTGGGAATCCTGGTGCTGGGGCTCCTCTCCCAGCTGCAGAGTCAGGTTTGGGCTGTTTTAACCTGCAGATGGAGGGCCCTATTTGCATGTTCTCTGACTATATATTCAGCTTGGGATCTATGTGACCATAGAGGGCAATGACTAGAAGAGATGTGACTGCCTTTGTTTTGGGGGATTGAACACTTTAGAATAGAATATGGTTTTCATTATACAACTTTCCAGAGTATATACTTGGGCATGTGCTACTTTCTTTTTACATATTCACACAAATGTTGTGGGATTGATGCCATGTTATGCCATAATAAAATGTAAAACTACACCCAGAATTTTGGAGGGCTTTGCGAGGTGTCCAAGAGCACACACAGGGTGAGAGTGAGCCCCAGTTTTTGGCCCTGTGCTCATCCCCACAGGACACACTGTGCACTGAACCACCTGGAGGACAGAGTGGGCAGGCTGGTGAGGAATGTGGAACCCCTCCTGTAATGGGGACAGGATGATTTTACTTCCTCTCTATGTTGCCCTGAAATATAGAGAGCATCGGGTTTGTGTAGGTGTATTTTCTAACACTTCAATGTCTATGTGTTCCTCCCAAGTCATCTCTGGGATTATTTGTTAGAATTTTGGTGAGTGTGCTTGAATGGAATGAAAGACATACAGGCAGAGCATGTGATAGGATAAACATGGGTGTCAAAATCAACATTTTCCAGAGTTCTGGATATTAATTCTCCATAAAACTTTCTGTATTTTCTCTGGAATTCCTCCTTCCTCTTCCCTTCTTCACCCTGTTTACACATAACTATGGGCTTTTCTCATGTTACTTAGACTAGTTTTAATTTTGAAGAATTTATATGGTATGTAATTTTATTTGTAAGACTTTTTTTTGCTCTGCACAAATCCTTGAAAATTCAACCATGTTGCTGTCTGTAGCAAGAATCATTTATTTTAATGTTTGGTAGTTACCCAAGGATTGAACATAACATAATTTCATTTTATTGTATTTTTTATTTTTAAAAATTTTTTATTAACATTTATTATTTACCCCAGGGGTACAGGTCTATGAATCATCAGGCTTACACATTTCACAGCACTCACCATAGCACATACCCTCTCCAATGTCCATAACCCAACCACTCTACCCCTACTCCCACACCCCCAGGAACCCTCAGTTTCTTTTGTGTGATTAAGAGTCCCTTATGGTTTGTCTCCCTCTGGATCCCATCTTGTTTCATTTTTTTCCTCCCTTCTCGCAATGACCCCCTGTCCTGTCTTTCAAATTCCTCATATCAGGGAGATCATATGATAGTTGTCTTTCTCTGAGTGACTGATTTCACTCAGCATAGTACCTTCTAGTTCCATCCACATTATTGCAAATGGCAAGATTTCATTTCTTTTGATGGCTGCATAGTATTCCGTTGTGTATATATACCACATCTTCTTCATCCATTCATCTGTTGATGGACATCTAGGTTCTTCCCATAGTTTGAATATTGTGGACATTGCTGCTATAAATATTTGAGTACCCATCCTGCTTCAGGTCACTGTATTTGTATCTTTAGGGTAAATACCCAGTAGTGTGATTGGTGGGTTATAGGGTAGTAGTGCAATTGCTGGGTCATAGGTAGTTCTATTTCCAACTTTTTGAGGAACCTCCATGCTGTTTTCCAGAGTGGTTGCACCAGCTTTCATTTCCACCAACAGTGTAGGAAGGTTCCCCTTTCTCCACATCCTCTCCAACACATGTTGTTTCCTGTCTTGCTAATTTTGGCCATTCTAACTGGTGGAAGGTGATATCTCAATGTGGTTTTAATTTGAATCTCCCTGATGGCTAATGATGATGAACATTTTTCCTGTACTCGAGGAACTACAGAACACTCATGAAAGAAATTGAAGAAGACACAAAAATATGGAAGACCATTCCATGCTCTTGGATTGGAAGATTAAACATTGTTAAAATGTCTACACTTCCTAGAGCAATCTATACTTTTAATGTCATTCCGATCAAAATTCCACTGGTATTTTTCAAGGAGCTGGAGCAAATAATCCAAAAATTTGTATGGAATCAGAATAGACCCCGAATCACTAAGGAAATGTTGAAAAAGAAAAGCAAAACTGGTGCCATCACGTTGCCTGATTTCAAGCTTTACTACAAAGCTGTGATCACCAAGACAGCATGGTACTGGCATAAAAACAGACACATAGACGAGTGGAACAGAGTAGAGAGCCCAGATATGGACCCTCAACTCTATGGTCAAATAATCTTCGACAAAACATGAAAAAA